CCAGGAGATCTCTGGAGGTTGAGGTTGCAGGGTCTACGTTGTGGGGGGGGGGAGGCCAGGGAGGAGAGTGAGGTCTTCCTCATTTCAAATCAGGGATGGTTTTACACAGGTCTTCCTCCTCACGGCAGTTCTTTGGGCCATGCTGAGTTTTGTTCTCATCTGCAGACATGGTTGCTCTCATTCAGCTCAGCTATTGGAAACCGTAGCCTGCCCCATCCAGACATCGTGGCAAACTATGTGCATTGAGCCGTAGGCAGAAGCAGGAAGGAATGTGTGAGCCCATATTGGTGCCTCCCATTGCCATGCCATCGTTTGGTGACTGGCTCTGGACTAGGGTTGCCAAATAATTTTCACTCACCGGCGGGGGAGGCTGCGTCCCGTCCGGGAGCAGTTTGCATGTGCGCGCGCGCCGCCGCGACATCACCGGAAGTGACGTCAGACGCCACTGACGTTGGGGGTGTGGCCGAGCTTCCCCCCCCGACGAGCTCGGCCACGCCCCCAACGTCGGCAACGTGGCTGCGTCACCTCCGGTGACGCAGCTTCGGGGGCGGGGTTCCCCCTGAGCCCCGATTCCGGCGGGGTTCCCCCCAAGCCCCGATTCCTGCGGGGCGGGAATCGGGGGCTCCGAAGCGGGGGGTTACCCGCCCCCCGGGCACATTTGGCAAGCCTACTCTGGACTGTGACCTCTGCTTTAAGCCAGTGAGTCAGTTTGGATACGAAGAACGTGCTACGGGCTTCCATCTCCCTTCCTTCTCTTGCACAATTTCTTTCTCTTCCACTTTTTTTCATAAGCTACAGCTTTTTCATATTCAAACTGAGCCAACCAATAGTTAGTTAGGTTTGGGTTTACCATAAAACTGTGGTTTCTTGAGAGAGAGTAAGTGTGAGGAGGGCACAATGGAGGCAGGGAGCTTATGAACATGCAGTTTGGACTTGAGCATCCAAGCTATAGGCTTGCCATTTCATGCGTACTGACCTGGTGTTTGTTCAGAGAAAAAAAATGCTCTAGGATATTGGGTAGATAAAGACATATTCTGTTTTTTCTGGCATGAGTCCACTGAATGTGTCTACTGGTCCACATGTTTCTCAGAGAAGTGCAGATATATAATAAACTGGTAGAATTTTTAAAGTGCCTTTGAACTGTTCCTCTTTTTCCAAAGGAAAACATTTCTATAAGCTGAAATAAATAGATTGTAATATAAAGCACCTTGTCATCCATGGGGTTTCCCCCAGTAATTTCTTCTATAGTCAAGGAACTCTGTGTATAAGGTTATGTCTGCTGTAGTGTCATTCCATTTCTGTAGCAAACAATTTGAGCGTAGCTGGTGTGCAAAGAACCTTGCCAGTTGAACACAGTTAATATTGTTTGGGATAACTGTGCTCTGTAGATGTTGCTTGCCAGCAAAATCGTACGATGATATTGGCTTGCAATAAGGACAGAAGCAGATTAGGCAACAAGAATCAGGCTTGTCTCTGAGAGGATCACATGTGAATTAATGAAGACATGCTCATTTTGGGTACCCAAACTAAAGGAAAAGGTGGCATTTTCCACTGCTCAAAATACCTTTCTAATGTGTGTCCGTTTGGTACCCTGTGCATTTAGATATTTAACTATTATTTTTATTCTTGTCTTCTATGACTTACTAAAAAGGAAGGTGGCATGCAAGGATTTTATCGAGGGCTCATGCCAACGATAGTAGGAATGGCTCCATATGCAGGTGAGTGGAACTCAGAATGTGACTTCTTCCAGATAGGCCTCCTCAAATGAATCCTGTTTGCAGAATTTTGCTTTGCTTCCTGCAAACATAAAATTATATATGATTACTGCATCTAGAGTTTGTATACATATTAGCAGTCAAAGAAATTGTAGAAAAGTGGCTGTTATAGCAGGGAATTTGACATTAGGCTTACTCTTCTACTGTTTTCCCCAAACTTCTTGCTAAAATAACTTATATGACACAATCCCCAAAGTAGACAAATATAGAAGACGGTAGTAATTTACGAAGCTCTCTCACTAAATGAGTCTGCCCTCTAGTAGTTCGAAAGATCTGTATAAGTTCAAAGTAAACACTGGTTGAGCAGTTGAACTAAGCTGTATATTACTACTACAAAATGTTACAGAATGCACAAAATGAAACTGTAAAACTAATTGAAGATATGCAACCAAATGCATATCCATGGGCACTTTTAAAATTTAATTTTAAGCAGAGTTTTTATGTATTTTTTTTTTTTTCGTATTTGTATTTCTTGGCACCCTACTCTGCATTCTGGGTTTTATAGGCTCTTCCTCTACCCTGCAACACCCTAACATTGTGTATGGTTCCTCCTGCCATTGGGTCTTGGCTCTGGGATTGGTTTAATTTTACTATCCCCTAGAGTCTTGCTTTGTACAAGATTAGATCTGTAGTTCTGCCAGCTATCGGAAGTGCCATCCTTCTCAAATCCAACAGAACTGCCTTTATATTGGGATAAACTTTGTGTCCCACATTCCAGTTCTTATATGCAAAATGCCCCATTTCCAGACTTGTGTAATGATAGGTGTGTCTTGTACTACATATGTTCCAAATGTCAGCTTTCTGGATAGTCTGGAAGTACCATCCCCGTTTGGGAACATACTTTAAATCTTCCCTTTTTAAGGAAGTGGAGTACAAATGTTTCACTCTCAGGTTTTTCCACAAATACAAATGTTGTGGACTACATATATAAGAAATTTCAAGGTTCTAGCTTATTGGGTACTACTCTGACAATTTTGACGTCCCCTATTTATCTTAACAAGAAAAGCATCTTGGTTTATTGCCTCTGCTGCTAATTCACCTTTAGTCATAGGTGGCATCATTTTCTCTAAAATAGTTGTCTAGGCTCTTCATTGCAGCCATATTCTGGTACAGTCCAGTTCAGAAGTATTACCTGTTCTAGAATGGAGGCAAGCATTGTTGGAGAGATGGAGAATTGTAGCTTCCCTTCCCTTCCCTTTTTGGGGAGAGTTTCCATTCTTTCTCTTTCCTCCTCCACTTTAAAATCCAGTGTAATCTCTTCAGATTAATTGCACAAGAAAAAGAGAGTGCTTGGAAAGAAAATGGACAGTTATTATGGTTCTGGAAAGGAGATACTCATTCCATACCAATATGGTACTGAAGGGAGATACTCATTCCATACCAATTCAAGATATGTATTGCCGTTTGCACATAGGGTACCAAGTTTGTCCTATAAGTTGAAATGGAGCATACTTGCAAGGTCGACATGGTTTCGGTTTATCTATTAAAGAGAATTTGATAGATGCAAATAATAATATTCATTTTTGTCAGAGTCTAATAAAAAACCTGAGAAAAACTTTGCATATGATTATCCTCATTAAACACATAAGACATGACCTAACCAAAGTTAAGCATACCTAACAGCTGTTGATTTCAGTTGGAGCGAGTTAAGCATATTCCTAACTCTTAAATAATTATTCTTAACTCTTAAAATAAGTGGGCCTTTGAAAGTGCTTGACCATGGCTGAATTGTGCCTGCGTTGTTTTAAACTGGTCTGTAGCTTTTTGTTGAGGTAATGTTTCCATAAAGTTACATTTTGCCTTTCAGGTTTCTCATTTTTTACCTTTGGTACCTTAAAGAGTGTGGGACTTGCCCAGGCACCTACCTTGGTTGGGAGGCCTTCCTTAGATAATCCTGATGTCTTAGTTTTGAAAACTCATGTAAATTTGCTGTGTGGTGGCATAGCTGGAGCAATAGCACAGACGATATCGTAAGTTGTGTTTGTACTTTACTGCACTTAACATAGAATTGTTAGGATCTTTTGCATTAGGAACTATTGCTTCTGATATGTTAGAAAAGACGAAGTTTTATCTTGGTTTGCTGTTTATGACTCTGGTTGCAAAAACAGTGAAGACAATAAATAAATAACTTGGTCATAATTTTAGGACTCAGTCATGCTCTTAATGGTTTTGGAGGGACTGGAATTTCTTCCAGACCACCAGAAAAACCCTCCAGCTTCCTACCTATACTATTAAGACTATATATTACTTTATAGTGCTGTCAATAATATATTCTGTTTTGCGGAGTGTTTTGGGAGAGTTGTTCTTCTGCTGTATTTTCTACTCCCAAGAAGGCCTTTCTGAAATGATTTGATGTATTTAAGCTTACAGATCCAATGAGCAACTGCTTCCTCACTGTTTCCATGAGGCTTTCATTGGAGTAAAGTTCAATAGTCTATTCCAGATGCAACTTGTGGCCTTAATGCCGTAGGTGATGCATTGAGCCATATTTGTCAAGCTGGGTCTTAGAGAGGAGCAGTGAATTGTTTTGGAGCTCTTCGTGTTGCAGCTTTGCTGAAGTTCAGCATGGACGGACATAGTTAGGGAATCACTGGGAGCCCTACGTAAAGTCAGAATATTAAGGGAATAAAAATTTTTAAATATGCATCAAAACACACAACTTTTCCTAAGAAATGTATGGAAAATCTAACTTTTAAAAACTTGGAATACAAAAATTGTAATGTAAAATTATTTTAACTCTGTGCATTATGAAAGACTGATTATCTAATATTTTAAATGCTACGTAATTGATATAATTTCTTATGTAATCTTCTAAATGTCATTTAATTGATTTATGCTTGTAACTCTGTGTGTTCCTTAAAAACAAACACATACCTGTGTTCCTCTCCTTTTCTTTCAGCTATCCTCTTGATGTAACACGTAGACGAATGCAGTTGGGAGCAGTGCTTCCAGATTCTGAAAAGTGCCTGTAAGTTTAATAATTAACACTAAAATTAAAAGGTGTGCCTAGCCTACCACTTTTTAACTTTCAATCAACACTATCTAGTATCCTTTCTGTGATACAAAATGAAATGTATTGAGAATTACAAAATTAGTTCCAGAAGCTGCTTATAGTAATTGAAACCAATGCAAATACCAAATAAAATATGATTAAAAAGGGAGATCTTGGTCCAGGCATAATGGTGGGCTGCCTGGCTGCAGTCTGTTCTGCTTCTGGCTTCAGTGATGGCCACTGGTCTCTGAGAAGAGGGAGAGCTCTCAGCTGGGGATGGATCACACACAAGAGAGGGGTGCCTGGTTGCTATCCGTGCTCCCTCCAAGCTGTGGAGTCTTGTGAGCAAAAATTCTACTTTGTGAGCTACTGGCATTGAAGTTGTGAGTGGGCAATTTGGCTACTGCATAAATTAGTTTGCTCTGGAGCCATCCTTCCTGATCTAAGACAGAAATGTGAGCTGGAGGCTTAAAAACTGTGAGCTAGCTCACACTAACTCAGCTTAGATGGAACACTGGTTGCTATCTCTTTTCCATCTGGCCTCACTGTTGCAAGCTGGTATATTGAACAAAAGTGAGTATGCATGTCTGAGTCCATGATCAAATTTCCTTTTCATCCTTCATATAAAGATGCTAGCTCAGTTCAGAAGTAATACCACTTAATGGCAGTACATAAACAAGAGGTGTGATCTGTGTTCCCCCTTTCATCCCCCATCCCTCATATACTATGATAGTTAATTACTGCTGCTTTAGAGCAAACCATAGTTTGCCATACACTAAGTGGATGAGAGCGTGTGAATCCTTTATCTGAACTGAGCCATGTTGCCTAACTGATGTGTACAGTATCAAAAATTGTCAGTTTTAAGTAGGCGATGCTCATAGCCCAGGCTTTCACCCTCTCACTTCCTGTAGACAAGGCTATTTTGCTAAACTGAGTTCCAGAGGGATAGCCGTGGACCCTGACCTGGATCGCCCAGGCTAGCCTGATCTTTTGAGGTCTCAGAAGCTAAGCAGGGTCAGCCCCGGTAATGACACAGAGGCAGGCAATGACAAACCATCTCTAACGTATCTTGCCATGAAAACCCAACAGGATCATTGGAAGTCAGCTGTGATTTGAGGGCAGAAAAAGCTGCTGTTAATCACAGTGGAGCCAGTACTCACAAACAGCAGATGAAGTCCTGAGCTGTTCCAGTCCAGACTGCAAGAGGGGACCATGCATGACTGAACACTCCTCTTCATAGAAATAAACCCCCCAGGCGTGCCTAATAGAAGGAAAGCCTTTCTCTTAATCATGTTCTAAAACTGGTATGCACTTTCATTATCTGAAGCAACCTGCCATTAGGAAAGTTTCTTGTGGCTGCCAGATTTGAGGCGCAGTTAAGAAGAGCGGAGTAGGAGAAGGGCAGCTCTGAACCACAGGGCATAATCTGCCAGGAATTGTCCTTGTGCGATCCCCACTGAAATGAACAGAGTAGTGCTCTGTAGGGATGGGCATGAACTGGTTCACGAGCCAAAATTAAGCACAAACGTGGCCCAGTCTGGAGCCCCCAAAACGATGTTTGGGGAAGGCATCTTCCCTGAACGTTTACTGGACTTATATTTTGTTTGGCTGTTTCGGCCATTTAAACCAAACAGCGGAGGGGTGCTTGTCTGCGGCTGACCTGTTAAGTAGAAATGGCTACAAGCCATTTCGCCAGTGGATTTCGCTTCCCCCCGTTTCCAAGGGGGGGGAAGCAAAATGGATTGGGGAAATAGCTGCCAGACATTTCACCATCTAGTTTCGCTTTTCCCCTGCTTCTAAGCAAAATGGACTGGTGAAATAGCTGCCTAGCGCCTGGTCCACTGTTAGGTTTAAATGGCTGGCAGCCATTTCAGCCTAGCAACTTCCCCCAGCTTCCAAGTGGTGGGGGGAAGCGAAACGCACTAGGGAAATGGCTAGCAGCCATTTCAGCCTAGCGACTAATAGGTGCACCCGCCCCGCTGTTAGGTTGAAATGACTGAGCCATTAAACCCATCGGTTTCGGGGGCCCCCCCACTTTGAAGTGAAACAGATGGGTTAAATGGCCATGAGTCATTTAACCCTTCCTGGCAATCCCTCCCTTTCTCCTGGCCATGGCAATCCGCAGCTGGGAGAAAGGGGGACCCAAACTGGCCAGTTTGGGGCATTTTGAGGTTGGTTCAGGGACCGCCCTGAACCGCAGTTTTTAGGCTCGTACCCATCCCTAGTACTCTGTACATTCCTCACTCATTTCTGAGGGGCTTGTGCAAGAGAACTGCCTGGGAGATTGTGTTCAGAGTTAATTAATTGAGGTGGTCCCATAGAGATTTTTGGCCAGAGACACCAAAATGTCTTGGGCCTTCCCTGAAGGTTATAGTTCTAATACAAATCTGGTTACATCGGAGCCACTATAACTTTGTAGCCATAGACATACAGCATCAACATCATTTCGGAATGATTCCAGTTGCATCAGTGTTCCATCTGTGGAAAGCTTCCAAACTCACAGGATGCTTTGGGGAAATATGTAGGTGCTCTGTCCATCCAGTGAAAAGTAGCACCCCCCCAACCCCCCTCCCAGTGTATTAGAATCAACCAGAGTATCACAGAATAGTGAATGAAAGCTTTTGAGTTACCCAGAACACTTCATCAGGCTGGATGTTAAGTATTAAAAGGGGTGGGAGATATTTAGTGGCGTGATACACATGAATCTGCTTTATACTGAGTCAGGCCCATGGTCTATCAAGGTCTGTCCTGTCAGACTTGCAGCAGTTCTCCAGGGTCCTATCACCTACTGCCTAGCCCTTTCAACTGGAGATGCCAGGGATTGAGCCTGGGCCCACCTGCATGACAAGCAGAGGCTCTTCCACTGAGCCACAGACCTTCCCTCTGTTGGAAGAGCCCAAAGCGTATCATTTTCTTAAACTGGAACCAGGAAGTGTCACAGACTTGATTAAATGGTGCTGTTCCACTTGGACTGTGAGAGAGGGTTCACAAGACTGAATGCTCCTTGGATTTAAAAAGCCAAATGAAAACCTGGCGGGTTTCAGGATTACTCAGAGGCCCCAGGAGTGAAGAAGCAAAAACAGAGTTTCTCCCTTTGAAAGTATAAGAACTAGGAGTTCATCAGAACTCTCCTCCACTTAAGATTGTGGTAATAACTTCATAGGAAATTCAAATATTGCTTTATTGAATTTCTTGCTTTTTGAAAAGTTTGTAAAAGCAGAAAATTGAAAATGTCTTTATTTCTAAGTAATAAAGATTTACTCTCTTTTTATCTTCCTAGTACAATGGTACAGACATTGAAGTATGTTTATGGAAACCATGGAATACGAGGAGGATTATACCGTGGCTTATCCCTGAATTACATCCGTTGTATTCCTTCACAGGCAGTGGCCTTCACTACGTATGAACTTATGAAACAGTTCTTGCACCTAAATTAAAAACAGAAACTTAATTGAAAAGTGCTTCTCTTTTTGTTGCATTTAATGGGCTACGTTTCCCATTTCAAATAATTATCACTAGAGAAGTAGTGGTATTTATATTCCTTTCTTTTACCAAAAAATGAAGAATGGTGTAAAATTGGAGAGATGAAGCTTGGAGAAGATACGTGGGCACTGAACAAATAGCACCTGAACATGTAAACCACTTGATCAAAATACAGTCAGATTTAATAAACAGAAACTTATAATGGAAAGGAAAATTTTATACAGGTTTCAAACAACTACATTTTTTTCCTATTCCATTTCAAGAGTTTATTTTAAAAACTGGATGTTCAGTATATTTCTTAAAGCGCTGGGTGAATATCTTAACGGATATAATCACAACATTTATACTTGGAAACTAATTCCACTGGACTCTGTGATTCTTGCTTCCATACAAAGGTGTTAAGGATGAAATACCAGTCTGCAGTCCACAAACTACTTAGTTTAGAGTCTTTTATTGAATTCTTGTTCATGGATTACAGTCTAACAGTGTTTCTTGGATTTTCCAAATTGTACTTTTATGATACAGATCTGGGATTCAAAGTGGTCCTTAAGATCTTGCAAGGAGATTGTGCTAGTCCAATGCAATGTTTCTCTTAATCATGGACTCTCTTGCTGTATTGTAAATGTTATTGAAACTCCCTTTTGTTTCCAAAGCAGTTTGCCATGCAGCAGGCAGAGCTGGTGGTTAAGAAAATGAAGTCTAAATCCCTCTTGGGGTCACAACTAATTTAATAGACCTTCGGATCCTTGCACCTGTATTTCTATACTACGAAATGAACTAAATGTATATATTTTATTAATGTCAATAATGAAATAGTCTATGTAATCAAGTTTCCCCATATAAATTCCTTTGGTTATCTTATCTTTAAATTGTTACTGTAGGCTTAGACTTGATTTTCTAAGATTTGTTAAACTAAGACAATAAAGGGCATGAATTAACAAAAATAATTTGAATGGGTCCAATCACAAAACCTAGTACCTCTACCTACTCTGCATGCATGGTGCAATTGCAAGTTGAAGTTACTCTACTTCTTATAGCATCATATCTGAAATACATGCGTGAGTGTAAATTGGGTAATGTTTTTGCACAGGTTTTATTTTCGTTGAACAGAATGCACCTAATATAAGGCTGTGCATATTGCCTATGGAATTAGATGCATACTTTTCTGCCCTGTGGAAAGACAGGTTCATTATTGAAAAGGCGATACTATAAGACCACTATCCTGAAGGAGTTTTCGAGCAGGAATTGCTGTTAATTTCAGGATTTTCAGACCTAGCAAGTCTACAAGTACTACATATAACACCTGTACTTATCATGTTAAAGGGGTTTTTTTTTTTGTGCCTTTTATTACGACTGTGGTTGCAGCAGGGATGCAGCCTTATTAATCCTCAGTTTCTCTCTTATCACTGAAAATGGGCTAAGCTAACAGTAGGGGGGAGGGATCTTCAGCCAAATTCTGTCCCTATTCCTCACAATGATGATTGTTGCAGGGTGGACAAATTTGCTGCCTGGTGTTGGTGTGGCTATGCCTTTTTAAATAGACCTCCTCATTTTGGGCAACAGATCCTACCCTTGTTGCCTAGAGTGATGTTGCGGGGGAATATAGGAAGTTGCAGCAGGCTTAGCATAGCCAGGCACAGAGGAATCTTTAGTGCACCCCCCCACAAAAAAATCTTCTGTGATTAGAAGATTTTTCATTTTACCTTTCTATTGCAAGGAACAAATTACTGTTTAGAAGGGTTTGCTTGATGCCACGTCTTCATTGGTAAAATCAGAATTTTATGGAACGTAATTTTTTTTTGTAAAACTATATGGCAACAGTTTCCACTAATTTTACTGTAAAGTGATGTAACTTATTTATTTACTGTAAATACTGTATATGGTGCGTGAAACTGGTAACAGCTGTGATATCAAAACTAGCAGGTATGAGACGGATATTGCTTATGGTCCACAGCTGAGATATATAAGCTCATGTTCCTGTGATTCTTTTTTGACTGAAGTTTATATTTTTAGATTAATATTATAAATTGGCAAAACAGTTATTGGCAGAGAGATGTATCTATTTTTTATTTCAAAACAAAAGTCTTGGATAGCAATATGACTTTACAGTGCAATTCTATGGAGAGTTATTTCAGTCTAAGTCCCCTGAAATAAATTGCCTCCAACTGAAATAATTCTGCATAGGGTTACACTGAAGTGTACCAGCCAACATAAAAGCATGTATTTGGAATCTGTACTCTTTGTTCGTTTCTTGTAAGTTGAATGTGTTTGATTAAATGATATTAAAGTGACTGCAATTACATTTTGGCTAGCCTTTGTATGTCTCTTTTAAAAATCCAGATGCATAGTTTCTACTGCAGAATATAGAAAGATAATGTCTATGACATGGCAAAGTAGTTGGGTGAACAGATCAATTAAGGCCTTGGTATAACTGGGGGGGGGGGCTGGGGCTCAGGTGTGAAAACTGCTTGGCATGCAGAAGGTCCCAGGTTCAATCCCGTGTCTCCAGCTGAAAGATCTAGCAGTCAGTGACGTGAAAGACCTCTGCCTGAAATCCTGGAGAGCTGCTGCCAGTTTGAGTAGACAATGCGGACTTTGATGAACTAAGGGTCTGATTCAGTATAAGGCATATGTTCAGTTTTCACTCCAGTCCTAATACATATTCAGTGGAACCTATTTCCAAATAATTGTGCTTAGAATGGCCGTTTAATGGATTTTTCTTCTTTCTACATGTTAAATATGACTGGCAATATTGCTTGCTTCTCCTGGGCAACCAGAATTTTTTTTTTTGTGATCTCAGTAATGATGATTTAGTGACTTGAATATGTGCAGCCTCTTTTCAGCAACTTATCAGTAAGAATAGCTCATGGATACGATGATAGTCACTAAATTTACAACTGTAAACATTTTTTTAAAAGCCACTTCTTTGAAACCAAAGGAAATTCCCATGGGTGTCATATGACAAGTTTTAATTTTCCAAACAAATAAGAAATATTTCCCTTCAACATTTAACATTTAATGTTATTCTTTCTTATGTTACTAGCAGATAAGTATGTTGGTCCATGTTCTTGGTGACAGTTGAAGCCTTTTCTTCTGAATGACTCTGCCACTGAAAATGTTATTTAGTTTACTTTACAAAATTGTAGGTCCTGCCTTTCTGCCCTCACAAGGTCCACCAAGGCAGCTGACAAAACATACATAATCATGTGTAGTTTTGGGAGGGCTGATTTTAACATCATTAAAACAATAAAAAGTAAATACAAAGACATAAAAACAATTAAAACATTGGTCAGGCAGGAGGGATCACTGAGGGAAAGCCAACCAAAATTAAACCCCACTAGCAAAAGATGGCAGCAGAAAAGGACAGACAAATCTCCCTGGGGAGAGTGTTCCAGAGTTTTGGTGGCATGACCAAGAAGTCCCTCTCTTGGGTTAATCTACCCAATCTCAGAAGGCAAGGGTGCATGAAGCAGGGCCTCCAAAGATGACCATAGTGATCAGGCAAGTTCATAAAAGAGTAGGCTGTCCTTCAGGTAAATTGATCCCAAACCATATAGGGCTTTGAAGTTCAAGACCACCACCTTGAATTGTGCTCCAAACCAGACTGGGAGCCAGGACTGGAGTCATATGGTCCTGATGACCCTCTCCAGTCTACATCCTGGCTGCAGCATTCTGTACCAATTAAGTTTCTGAACACTTTGCATGGGCAGACCCACCCAAAGCACACTGCAGTAATCTGATCTAGATGTAACCAGGGCATGCACCATAGCGGCCAATCTTTTCTGCCCTAGTGCTAGAAGTAGAAAAATACAGACTGGTTTTTGCTAAAAACCCTGAGGCTTCAGGTCTGCATGGCTGCCCTATCATGTTCCAAAAGAACAACATTAGCATTGCTGTTGAATTGAAAATGACTCATTTACTAGCAGGTTACTATGGAATCTTACATGCCCACAGCTACTCTTGCTCCCATACTCAGAAAGACCAAGTCAGAACAGTGTCCCCTACTTCTGAAGGACCAGAATGGGGCCTAGTATTTTCAGTACAGGTCCTTGGCAGAAAGAGAACATATTTTTCAAGTTTTGGTGGAATAATAATAATTGTATGACATTGTGTGTAAAATAGCCAGGAGATCCTAAGAATGTCTGGCAGCCAGGTCTAGGTCTTTTAGCGTTATATACCACTAGGTGGCGAGCTAGGCAAGAGACATTTCAGAGGTGGTTGAAATCCTACTGACACCACATTTTGGTCTTCCCCTTTACAAAATTAGTATTTTTAAAAAATGAGAAAAAAATACTATGTACCATTGATAAAGGCAGGGACCTGGTTTGGTCCAATGCATTATTTTTATACTTCAAGTGCCAGGAAGAAAATACATTATAATGAAAATGGCGCAGCTCATCTTCTATCATGTTCATTCATGGAAAAGTTTGAAATGAAGACTCGGTATTCTCAACCACTTTTTTTTTGTAACATCCCCTTACCTTTCAGTGGTCAATTCTGTAGGGTCCAGTGTCATCCAGGCATGCACAGAAAATGCTTTGCAGTGTAATATTGACATTAAACATGGTGCTCTGTGTGGATTTAAGTTAAGGTGGTTTTGTACTTACTGACACATCACGTCTTGATATACTCCTTAAGCAATGAAGATGCACATGTGAACAAACCTGGTGCTGTTTCATGGTTACTTCTAAACTGGTGTGAATGGGGCCAGGTTTCTCTGGATTGTACAATATACCTTTAATTTACATGACAAAACCTCCACTAGCCCCAGGGATTGTCCTTGTTTTTGGCACATTCCACAAAAACCTAGAACTCTGATGCTCAGTGTGTGATGCCAGTGTATTTCTTGACACACGCCCCTTGCTTCTTTCCCAAAGCAAAGAGCCAATGTTACTTTTTCTGTGCTTCAGAAGATCTAAGAGGGTATCGCCTTTTTTGTTGTTGTTGTTCAGTCGCGTCCGACTTTTAGCACCCATTTTGAAACAGCTGCCTCCATCACAGGGGATATGATTGGCATGGAATCTCTAACATTTTCTAGAATTTCCCAACATTTCGTAACTAGTACCCAGCTATTTTGTTGTATAACCCCACTTAGTACCTGTACTACCTGTACCTGTACAGGTACTACCGAATCCCCCCGACCCCAGTATCCGTATTCTTTCCCCTCAGCTTTCTTCTCCACTCCTTTT